CAAGGGTCAATTCTGGGACCCACACTGTTTCTCATGTATATCAATGATGTATGTAAAGTATCAACATTAATGAAACTTATACTATTTGCGGATGACACCACAATTACATGCTCAGGAAATAACTTGGAGCAACTCTTGTCCCTCGTAACAGTGGAGATGACCAGATTAATGAGGTGGTTTAATAATAACAAATTGTCACTCAACTTAAAAAAGACTAAAATTATGCTTTTCAGTAATCGTAAAAGTAAAATACCAGTCAGAATAGTACTTGATGATACACCTATTGAGAATGTCAAACAAAATGTATTTTTGGGAGTTATTATAGACGACAAAATTACATGGAAACCTCACATAAGTTACCTGCGGACAAAAGTTGCAAAATGTGTGGGAATGATGAAGAGATCCTGTCATTTAATTAATACCAATGCGCTTATGTTATTATACCATTCTTTCATAATGTCATATCTGAATTATTGTGTTGAAGTGTGGGGAAACTGCTATAAGTCTCATTTGCAGCCCTTATTCATTTTACAAAAAAAGGCCATAAGGATTGTGTCTAATGTTCACTACAGACATCCTTCTAATCCCTTGTTCATCAAAACGAATCAACTTAAACTACATGACTTGGTTAGCCTAAGAACTGCTCAGATAATGTTCAGGGCATCTGAAAGCTCTCTGCCAGCAAACATACAAAACCTTTTTCATGATAGAGACGCCCATCATAGATACAGGCTTAGAGGAAACAAACAATTTTATGTCCCTAAAGTGAGAACAACATTGAAATCAATGTGTGTCTCAGTCAGAGGAGTGAAGATCTGGAAAGATTTAACGGAAGCATTAAAATCATGCTCCAACATGACCAAGTTTAAAAAATACTTTAAAAAAGAATTACTGCAGAAATACGCAGAAGAGGGAGCATGATTCCCTGAGCAGTAGCTGAGCATTGAGCGAGTGGTGTGTGGTCGGAGAACGTCCGGGGCCAGTGTCTGAGTGAGTGAGTCTTGTCCTGTTCTGTCCTGTCCTGTCCTGTCCTGTCTGTCTGTCCTGTCCTGTCTGTCCTGTCCTGGTTGTCCTGTCCTGGTTGTCCTGTCCTGGTTGTCCTGTCTGGTTTTGTTGTGTGTTGTATCGCTACAGTATTGTATATGCTCTACTTTACCTGACCGGTGGGGGTAGTCCAAGGGGATATAGATTTGTTTTTTGTTTTGCTTGTTTTGTTTTTTGTTTTTGTGATTTCTTGTTTTTGCATTGTGGTTGCGTTGTAGAGAGTGTGTGAGAGGTGGTTGGATATAAATAAGCTTCTGCTTCTGCCAACCCCCTTTTCAAACCATGCATGTGCTTTACAAGATGAACCGTTGTAAAAAATGTTTGTGCAGGTTTTGAAATAAACTAATTGATTGATTGAATGTTGTATATTTTAATATTTGACCATTTGGACATCATAGCCAAAAAAGACCTCTGTGCACTCAGGAAAAACCCCAAGGACACAAGATAGTATACAAACTAGACAATTATTGACTCCAAGTATAAGCAGGGCTCTCTCTCTCACTTTGGGCGAGAGCAAAGTCCAACACAATCAGGCGCCGCAGGGGTGGGGCCATTGTTTGCTCAGGTGGAGATGGAAGACCAAGACCGGGTCCAGACCAGGACCAGGGGCCAGACCAGTCCCAGACCTGTGACGTCATCGGACCCTGGGCCCAAGACCTCCCTGATACGACACGCCCCCTGCTCCCTGAACATCGACTAATAAGGCTCTGGCTTGGGCAGAAACAGAAGAATCAGCCGAGGGCCAGAGAGGGACATGCATAGTTTTAGGAGCCCTCTTTGTTGAATATTCTGTATCTGATTGTAAAGATAATTAAATGCAGATGTTAAACTTGGAGATCTGTTGTCATGCCTCTGCATCAACTCGAACACGTCAGTCAAGGGAATTATTGACTTCAAACCATATAGCTGCTAACATGTACACATGTAAACATACAGCTGCTAACATGTACAGATGTAAACATACAGCTGCTAACATGTACAGATGTAAACATACAGCTGCTAACATGTACAGATGTAAACATACAGCTGCTAACATGTACAGAAACAACTGTATACTTCTTGCACTAGATTATAGTGTTTTATACTTGCTTCTTATCATACTAAACTATGGAATAGAAAGAGATTTTATACTTGTTTCTTTTTATACTAGAGTTAAGAGATTTAATTTAATTTTATTTAGTATAGAGTTAGTGTTCACTTATTTTGTGATGCAACACTGACATTTCCCCACTGCGGGACTTGTAAAAAGATCCCGTAATCTCTTAAAGAAGCTATACCCGATTTTTTTTCTAAGTAGTTCATAAAAATGCTTTTTACTACATACAAGTTGTATCATAATACATCATTTAATTGAAAACTTGAGGTAATTGATTCAGCTGTGTAAGAATTACAAGCAGTGAAAAGTGCTGAGTAGAGTCTGAGCGGGCCGCTCTTTCTCCTCCGCTCACAGATCGAGCAGCGAACAGCCTGCGTCCTCTAGCCCCTACAGCGCTGCTCAACACCAGGGCTTCGACTTCAAAATTCAAATATAATTCTAAAATAAAAAATGATGAACAAAATAATTGAATAAAAAAATATGAACAAATATTAGACAACCCTTGTAATTCGAAATGTATTTAATGACTGCAAATAAAATAGTTAGCTCCCAAAGGTTTCACCGGGACGTGGCCGTGCTAGGCAGGTAACAGCTAAGCTAGCTAGTTTGTTTCATGGTAACTTCCGGGTTTTTCGCAATCGCTTTTTGTCACATTGAAACAGTATTTTTATCATGAAAACGTTAACAGCAAATTCTGAAATCATCCGTGCATGTGTGTTAAGGATGTATATGTGTACTGTATTGTCCGATTGACGTTTAATGGTGTTGATTGATAGATATGTAGTATCATTGAGCGTGGCTAGCTCCGTTGGCTTCTCTACACAGACGAGTGATAGTGACAGGTGCTGATAGCTTGTTGTACTTGCAGAGTAATGGCAGTATTTTACACACCTGAATTACAAACAGAGGTTGCATTGGGGCTTCGGTCATTATTGGTTTGAGAGTTCTGTTATCAAGAAAACATGATCGGAAGAATTGCTGCTGCTGCTTTGAGGAGCTCTATAACAAAATATAATTAAATGTTAGAATACATTCTAAGATTTTAAATTAATACATTAGGACGCGAAACTAGCGGTATTCTTTTACTTATATATTGTGTTAGCAATGCGTTGCTTTAGTGCCATTTCATCAGTGATTGTTGCACAGCTTACAAGAAGTTGCGCTAATGCTAATGTTAGCATATGTATCAGATCGCAAATAAAACTAGGTGGCTCTGTGTTATGAGAGCGTAGGGGAAATGAGAAGCCTGTGAGCGAGTTGGGGGGCGGTGCTAAACATTCAAACATTGCAAAAACGGGTATAGCGCCTTTAATAACATGTTGAGAAAGTCTAAATACTTCATCAAGATTGGTACAAGTGTGGGTGGAGACACACACACACACACACACACACACACACACACACACACACACACACACACACACACACACACACACATAAAAGCATAGCTTGGAGGCAGATGCAATGCAGGTCCAAACACACTCATGCTCTGATGTCCTCAGTAATCCAAAAACAAGTCAGTTTAAAGGAATGCATTTTTATCATTAGAAAGATGTCACACTGAGACAGAGAGGTCTGAGTCTGTATGTATACTGAGACAAGAGAGGTCTGAGTCTGCATGTATACTGAGACAGAGAGGTCTGAGTCTGCATGTATACTGAGACAGAGAGGTCTGAGTCTGCATGTATACTGAGACAGAGAGGTCTGAGTCTGCATGTATACTGAGACAGAGAGGTCTGAGTCTGCATGTATACTGAGACAGGAGAGGTCTGAGTCTGTATGTATACTGAGACAGAGAGGTCTGAGTCTGCATGTATACTGAGACAGGAGAGGTCTGAGTCTGTATCAGTGGCGGCCGGCCAATAGAGGGCGCTAGGGCGCCGCCCCACCACTCACAACTTGCCATGTTACCTTGAATAAAACGTTAAAAAAAATAATAACATTAAAATATTTCGAAATGTATGTGTGTTTTATTTCAGATGTGGAAGAAATACTTTATAGTTTATGCTGAGTTGGATTGATTAAGCCCATCAGCGTTGTCTGTGTCGGACTGAGGACGTATTTCCGCCTCAGGGCGCAAAAGATTGCGCCCTGAGCCGTCTATGGACTCTCGTTAAAAGTTGTACATGCGCAGTAGCTCCTCTTCAATGCAAGAGATAAGACGATTTGGGGGCGCAGGAGAAGTGCGCCCTGAGGGGGCGGGATCGCCCGCGACCTGTACTGTCACTGTCTGTGACGTCCGTTTACAGTGATTGACAGGTCAAGCTGTGGGAGTTTGAGACGAACGTAAAGAGACGCAAAATGGAGAACGAGAAAAAGAATAATTCAGTTAGATCACTCAAAACAATACCGTTTGAGAGAAGATCATACCAGGAGAAGGTTGAGGTTAAAGAGCTTGGACCTGATCAGCCAAATATTACCATTAGTCAGCAGTCCAGGACCTGGTTCAGCGCCAAATCTTGGCTAGCAGCATGTAGCGAGGCTAATGCTTTATTTTGCTTTCCATGCCTCTTGTTTCAAACATCAGGATCTGACCCAGCATGGATCAAGACAGGTATGACTGATCTGAAGCACTTTTTAGAAAAGGCAAAGAAGCATGAGCAGACTGGTATCCACATGCAAAATGCCCTCAAATTAGCTATGTTTGGGAAGATAAATATTTCATCCCAGCTGGATGAAAGCTACAGGGTAGGGATCAGAAAGCATCCCTACCCTGCTGGTATATATCTAGTCATCATATTCATAGCCCCCCCAGTAGAAAATTTCACCAGCCGCCACTGGTCTGTATGTATACTGAGACAGAGGTCTGAGTCTGTATGTATACTGAGACAGGAGAGGTCGAGTTTGGTTTGGTCCTTACCTCCACAGAACCACAGTCGCAGTCCTCTCCCTCCTCCACGAAGCCGTTCCCACAGACAGACGGAGACAGCAGGCTCCTGGGGTCCGGTTCGTTCAGGAGGCAGTTCACGCTCCGCTCCAGAAGAAACTCCTCATATTTGGAGCGACTGCAGCTGCTGAAGGTCTCAGGTAATGTCCAGCTCCTACATCACATTTTAATAGTGTTACAAGACCTTCTCGAGAAGACATTACAAATTGATTATGATAATTTCTAAACCAAACCTTGGGGGACCGAGCCTTTGCTGCAGCTGCCTCCACTCACTACAGAACTGTATATCCCTTCTCAAAACCTTGTTTCAGCTTGCTTTTCCTTAATTTTTGCTCTTCTATGATTATTTTACATATTTTGTAAAGCCTCCTTGAGTGTCCAAAAAGCACTTTATGAGTTTGATGTATTATTATTATTATTTAATGGTCTTGGGCCTTTTTATCTTTCAGAACAGCTTTTACCATATGAACCTTCCCGGCCCTTGCGCTCCTCCGGCAGCAGACTCCGGTAACACTTTATATTAATGGTATATGAGTTCATGCATGATTCTCATGAATTAATGCATTAGTTCATGATACATTCATGCATTACTAGATCATGAATTCTCATGAAGCAACATGATTACATGTTGGTTTGTGGATGAATTCATCCATGAATTGATGGTTTCACTACTGTAATGAATTTACATGAAAATCTTTAAGAATGATCATGATGATACCATGAATTTACTGAAAAAGCAATGAAATGTCTCCTCTGGGTCCTGGGGTCTGGCTCTTGGACCTGGTGGGGGCCTGGAGCCTCGGCTTCATGTCTTTTCTGGGTCCTGTGTCGTCCCCTGTGGCTGCGGGCGGCTCTCTGCTCCCGGTGCAGACGGCTCCTTGGATGGCGCTTCTTCAGCTGGTTGCATCTACTGTACACCCTGCCAAGTCTCTCTTTACATGGTTTTACTGTTGTGTGTGTGTGTGTGTGTGTGAGCGTGTCTGTGCGTGTGTGTGTGTGTTTGTCTACGCTTGTGTGCATTCTTAGTAATATATGTGGTTTGGGGTGGGTCTGTTGGGTGGTCGGGAGGGGGGTTATTGGCAGCATTGTTTTTAACCAAAATGTAAAGCACTTTGTGTTGCATCTTCTGTATGAAAAGTTCTTTATAAATAAAATTGTATTGATTGATTGATTGATTATTGTAATAATGCATACCATTATGTGCTAGCGGCCCCTCTGACCACCACCAACCATTCACGCACACACCAGACTCATTCTAATGTGGGTGAAGTGTCCTGGACACAACCACAGTTTGGCACTTTACAGCCGCCCCACTGTGGTACCTGGTGTTCCCAGAGGTCTCCCATCACAGTACTAACCAGGCCATGCCCTGCTTAGCTTCAGAGGTGTAACAGGATCCTGCTTTAGTGTATACTTGTCCCAATCAAGTAAGTAAATGAGACAAAGCTTAGTTAGGACACTGAGGTATTACATGGTCTGGCTCCTGGACCTGTGGAGGTCTGGAGCCTCCTGCCTCCTCTGGGTTCCGCGGGGGTCTGGAGCCTCCTGCCTCCTCTGGGTCCCGCGGGGGTCTGGAGCCTCCTCTCTCCTCTGGGTCCCGCGGGGGTGGCTCCTGGATGTTCCGTACATTGGTTCACGTCACAGAGACACTGGTGCTTACTTGACAGAGGGCTCCATGATGCAGCTGTCTCCTCCACAGCTGCAGGAGCTGGAGTCGTGGGACATGCCCAGGTTATGACCCAACTCATGGGCCAGGGTCGCTCCTACTGCTACAGCCACGTCTGTGTAGTCCTGAGGAGAGGAGGAGGACTGAGACTGAGAGGAGGAGCAAGAGGAAGACTGAGAGGAGGACTGAGAGGAAGAGCAAGAGGAGGTCTGAAAGGAGGTCTAAGAGGAAGACTGAGAGGAGAACTGAGAGGAAGAGCAAGAGGAGGTCTGAGAGGAGGACTGAGACAAGGACGGAGGGGAGGAGCAAGTGGAGCTCTTAGAGTACTGAGAGGAGGACTAAGGGGAGGTGCAAAGGGCTGAAAGGAGGCCTGAGCGGAGGTCTGAGAGGAGGACTGAGAGGGGAACAGAGGGGAGGACTGGGAGTGGAGGCAAGAGGAGGATTGAGAGGAGGACTGAGAGGAGGACTGAAAGGCGGACGAGGGGGAGACCGAGAGGAGGACTGAGAGGAGGACTGAGATGAGGACCGAGAGACCAAGAGAACCACCCGGAGTAAGACAGAGAGGAAGAGGACAAGGACAAGGAGGACCAAGAGGAGGACTGAGAGGTGGAGCAAGAGGGGGTCTAAGAGGAGAACCACAAGGAGAGCCAAGAGAAGGAGCAAGAGGAGGCTCACCTGCACCACGCCCACAGAGTAGCCCGTACACAGAGCTCCCACGTAGGCCAGTCCCACCGTGCCCCCGGCAAAGTCCTCCCCACTGCAGGAAACAGAGAGACACACACAGAGACACACAGAGAGACACACACAGAGACACACAGAGAGACACACAGAGAGACACACAGAAAGACACACACAGAGAGACACACAGAGAGACACATACATAAATATAAAAACTCCTTTTGCAGATTGAAACAATTGGATCTGAGTTTACTGTGACGTGTGTAATGCGACCATGGATCTGTTATAATAACTGGATAGGGTATTACTAGCTTGGAGCTGAAGAACCCACGTGCTCGGGGGATTCTCGCGGTACTGCAGACTAAACCAGACTAAATTCATGTGGGCCACCCAGAAATTTTCCATGGCGAGTTCCGCTAATACAGTGCCTTGCGAAAGTATTCGGCCCCCTCGAACCTTTCAACATTTCGCCACATTTCAGGCTTCAAACATAAAGATATACATTTTTTATTTTTTGTCATGAATCAACAACAAGTGGGACACAATCGTGAAGTGGAATGAAATTTGTTGGATAAATTTAAACTTTTTTAACAAATAAAAAACTGAAAAGTGGGGCATTCAATATTATTCAGCCCCTTTACTTTCAGTGCAGCAAACTCACTCCAGAAGTTCAGTGAGGATCTTTGAATGATCCAATGTTGTCCTAAATGACTGATGATGATAAATAGAATGCACTTGTGTGTAATCAAGTCTCCGTATAAATGCACCTGCTCTTTGATAGTCTCAGGGTTCTGTTTAAAGCGCAGAGAGAACCATGAAGACAAAGGAACACACCAGGCAGGTCCGAGATACTGTTGTGGAGAAGTTTAAAGCCGGATTTGGATACAAAAAGATTTCCCAAGCTTTAAACATCTCAAGGAGCACTGTGCAAGCAATTATATTGAAATGGAAGAAGTATCAGACCACTGCAAATCTACCAAGACCCGGCCGTCCCTCCAAACTTTCATCTCAAACAAGGAGACGACTGATCAGAGATGCAGTCAAGAGGCCCATGGTCATTCTGGATGAACTGCAGATAACTACAGCTGAGGTGGGGATGGTGTGTTCAGGGTGATGAGCTGTGTTGCTTTTACGCCAAACATATCGTTTTGCATTGTGGCCAAAAAGTTTGATTTTGGTTTCATCTGACCAGAGCACCTTCTTCCACATGTTTGGTGTGTCTCCCAGGTGGCTTGTGGCAAACTTTAAGAGACTTTTATTGGATATCTTTGAGAAATGGCCACTCTTCCATAAAGGCCAGATTTGTGCAGTGCACGACTGATTGTTGTCCTATGGACAGACTCTCCCACCTCAGCTGTAGTCCAACTTTTGGACCATCCTGTAAAGACGTTTTCGAGAGGTCTGCCAATTCTATCTGTTAGCATTGGCTAATTCTTATTCTGGGTCCATCCCCATCGGGTGGTATTGCAAGCATGTCAGCGCACATCATTTTGGCCACTTTTGAGCCGGGACCCGCCCCCACTGGTACAGACACAGGTTCTGACATAGGTACGACCACAGGTACGACCACAGGTACAGTGAGCAGTGAGGGTCAGACCTGATCAGATGGGCACAGTCATGCTTGCTGGAGATCAGGTTCTTGTTCCTCCAGTCTCTGAAGAGATCCAGGTTCTGTCCGGTGTCCGAGCTGATGCTGATTTTGTCTGAGTCTGTCCAGACCTCCAGCCCCACCAGAGCCACGAAGGTCAGCAGTGGTTTGTACGCCTGCAACGGAAACAAGACTGAACCCACCACAACATGCTAACGGTGAGAGAGAGTTAGCCAGATCCAGGACTCAGGCCGCCGAACGAGGACCAAGACCAGGATACTGTCAGAAAGAGCCCTGTGAGCCACTATTTGTCTCTTTGGGCTGAGAGATGATTGACTGACCCTTAAAGCAGCAATACGTAAAAATCTGGCCAAAATTCAGACTGCACTCTCCCTGACTCAGGTTGCCAGATATGCAGACAAATCCAGCTGGGACCATAACAGCTGAATAGACAAGAGTTTTGTCAACAAAAACTCTTTAACCAACACCTTTTTCACAAAGATAGAAATCCTGGTTTTATTCCTTGTTTTGTCATTAATGATTTGAGAATCATAACAAGACCTTTTTTAGTTCTGCGGACACATGGTACTTTACCAGTGAGATTAGCTTAACGCGGTCAGTTCTGGCAACCCGGATCACAGACTTTCGGATTGGTGAAACGGTGGAGGGCGGGACATCGAAATGAAAACAACAACAAGATTTGGGGGCTGAAAAACTAATATCTCTGAACTACTGTCATCAGTGAAATAAGAATTGGAAAAGAGCATGTTTTATTCATGCTTTTTGACAGATTAGGACCCTTTAATGATGACTTGACATGAAAATCTTACATTTTGCTACTTTAAAAAGTCCATTAAGCTTAGCATGTCGACTTGTCTCTGTAAACTCACCATGTTGACAAAGTTGACGACTTCAAAAATCCTCTTCCTCAGTTTGGATAGGTCTTTGTTCATCCTCACGTACTAAAAGATTCACATCCAGAGAGTTAGTATTCACTAAGATTTGAGGTCTGACAGTAGACCAGTGCTGTCACTGTTATTATTCCTGAGATTTCATCCGACTTAGTGGCAGTATTTTACATAGTGATCCATGTTGGAGAGCACAGGTACCTCTTTGTAGTCAGCCACCAGGTAAAGCTCCATGAACTTCTTCTGATAAAGGATGGACAGAGGCTGCAATAGGAAGCTTTCATTATTTTTATAGTCAAAGAGAAAATCATCCAAATGTAAATTTTCTGATGAATTTGACAAAACAAAGGAGATGAGTGAGGAGGAGAGGAGGAGAGGAGAGAGAGGAGAGAGAGAAGGAGAGAGAGGAGAGAGAGAAGGAGAGAGAGGAGAGAGAGAAGGAGAGAGAGGAGAGAGGAGAGAGAGGAAAGAGGAGAGAGGAGAGAGAGGAAAGAGGAGAGAGAGGAGAGAGAGGGGGAGGGACAGAGAGAGAAGAGAGAAGTGAGCATATGCTTATCAAATCCTTTCACTGATGTCTGGCCTTTATTCCATTGCATCACAGCGCCACCCACGGGCCTGGCATAGTCTACTCTGGCGTATTTACGCAATCATTTACTGAGCTGACTCTGTGTTTACAGAAAACGTGTCTGAAACTATAGATCACAGGTGGGCCATTATTTAATCTATTTTTATTTATTATATCGCCCTGACGTGTGCCAGACCCAATTACATGTGGTTAATTTTCAATTCTATTTAGCCCAAAAAAATCTGTATACATATTATTTCAATTTAATACACATGATAATATCCAATGTTTTCTTTGCGGACATTTTGGGGGAAATTATTATCAATACATGTTTGAGGATGGAATAAATACAAGGGTCCAGGGGCCACATAGACATGTGAATCAGGCCGCATGTGGCCCCTGGTCTGCACCCAAGTTTGCTACTGTATAAGTGTCTTGACCTCATGTGGATGTAGTCCTAAATAGTCTGTGTCTGGGCAGGGCTTTTGACACGGTTACGTTTGATGAAGCCCGGTGCACGAGGTGAAGAGGCCTCACCGAGGAGCGTGCTCGACTGGGCGGCTCTTCGTTTGCAGCCCAGGTCTCGTTGGTGACTCCGCACGTGAGGGGCGTGGTTTGGGGGTCTTGGTCTCTGTGAGACGTGGGGGCCGTGGCCTGGGGGAGAGGGTCTTCAGACAGAGCAGCCACAGCGTGATCCCCGTCGGGCTCCAGGGTCAGCGGCTCAATCACGAATCTCTGCTCGGACGTCCGGAAGTACCCTCTGAATACAACACACACTTACAATTCCATAATCTGCTGTACCTCAGACCTGAGACTGTCACATGACCTCAGACTGAGACTGTCACATGACCTCAGACTGAGACTGTCACATGACCTCAGACTGAGACTGTCACATGACCTCAGACTGAGACTGTCACATGACCTCAGACTGAGACTGTCACATGACCTCAGACTGAGACTGTCACATGACCTCAGACCTGAGACTGTCACATGACCTCAGAATGAGACTGTCACATGACCTCAGACCTGAGACTGTCACATGACCTCAGACCTGAGACTGTCACATGACCTCAGACTGAGACTGTCACATGACCTCAGACCTGAGACTGTCACATGACCTCAGACCTGAGACTGTCACATGACCTCAGACCTGAGACTGTCACATGACCTCAGACTGAGACTGTCACATGACCTCAGACTGAGACTGTCACATGACCTCAGACCTGAGACTGTCAAATGACCTCAGACCTGAGACTGTCACATGACCTCAGACCTGAGACTGTCACATGACCTCAGACCTGAGCCTGTCACATGACCTCAGACGGAGACTGTCACATGACCTCAGACCTGAGCCTGTCACATGACCTCAGACGGAGACTGTCACATGACCTCAGACTGACCTGAGCCCGTCGCAGGTGCTGAGGCTGACCTCGGACCTGCTGTCCCCCAGGATGGTCCCTTGGTAATAGCAGTGATCCTGTGAAGGTCAAAGTGACGTCATCATCAAAGTGAGTCTTGTGTTTTTACATGTTACTCACAATGTGGCGTGGCGCGCTGGTGATGCGGGTGCCATCCTCCAGGTAGTGAGTCTCGCTGTAGTCTTTGGTCAGCAATTCACTGGCAGGAAAATGACAGAAATGTTCCATGTGTTTACAATGTTTATGTTTGATGTATCCAGTTTGCATGGGGGACACGCCCTGTTTCTCTGTTCAATCATGCACTCTCTTACTGTTACTGTCATCATTTCTGTTTTGTTTAGTCAAACCCTAAACTTGGTTTTATGGCCCAGCCTTAAAAGGAGATAATGAATAATCAGCTTGAGCTAAATTCTACATTTTGGAACAGCTGAAATATTGCACAGAACCTTCAGGCTCTATGGCGTCTGGTATAGGATACCAGAGCTTCTTGAAAGAGCATCTGTTTTATGTCTCTAGTCCAGTGTTTATGATTCAGATGATCACCCAGGTACTTAAAAGAGTCCACTCTCTAAAATGTCTCTTCATGTTCACTGGGGGCTGGCGCGGCACAGTGACCTCTGCAGAAGTCCACCATCTCCTTAGTCTTCCCCACGTTGAGGAGGATCTGCTGGCACCAGTCCACAAAGTCCTGTGTTAGTCCTCTGTACTCTGCGTTGTTGTCTTCAGTGATGAGTCCAACGATGGCAGAGTCGTCAGAGAACTTCTGACACAACCGTGCGTGTTGTGTCTGAAGTCTGCAGTGTAGAGGGTGAAGAGGAACGGAGCGAGGACAGATCCCTGGGGGCCCCCCCACACTGCAGGTCAGTCCATCAGAAGCCACAGCTGGATGGTGTTGAAAGCACTGAAGAAATCCAAACTCCACTCTGATGCTTGAGAGAGAAACTGCAACAGGTCCATCTCTGAGCTCACTGTGGAGCAGGTGTCCCAGGACCAGCCTCTCCAGAGTTTGTTTTCATTATTTTATTATTAATTTGTGTGCTATTTTCACCAAGAAGTGTTTTCTTCTCTTCTAAATATATCATTAAAACCAGTTTGTGTTAAACCAAACGATAAATAAAAACAGAAACTCACTCGTTCCTCTGCAGGTGCATCTGCAGCGGTCGGCCTCTCACGGTCAGAGCGTATTTCACCGTCTGTGGTCTGTGGAGCTGAGGACCACAAACTTTCAGAGGAAATACTTCCTAAAAGAATCCTGTGCAGTTTTTGTTTCACCTCTGCATGTCTCTTGTTGACCGTGTGGAGTCTGACCGGCCGCACCACCTCATAGTCCTCTCCCAGGTTCAGTCCAGGACCATGGCTCACTGTGGACCAGAAGTATTGTATTATAATATTTGTAATTATGAGCAGTGCTGCAGAGAAAGGGCAAAGTCGCAGCCGTACTCTTACATTTACCAGCTTTGCTTTATACTTGAGACAAGTCACTTTCAACAGTGTAATTAAGATTAAGAGATCCCTTGATCGTCCCACAGTGGGAAAAATGTCAGTGTTGCATCAGCAGTTACAGAACAGTAGCAAGGAGGAGCACACAGTAAAACATAAGTGAACATTAAACTCCATTTCTGGGTCAGGGGGGTGGCAGTCAGAGCTGCAACCCAAGTCAAAGACCACCAGCCCCTCACTCCTTATCAACTAATGTCTTCACTTTTTAATATGCTACACCTTTATTATTGCAAATGAAATGAAAATGTTTCTTTTATGATTTTCTAACATGTAACTAATAAAATAATTGTTCTTTTATCCCCTAGTATTTTAATTAAAGGCTTTTACCAAATGGTCGCGATGCAGTTTGATGGTAAGTGCCTAAAACCAAGTGATAAAGATGCAGCGATGAGATGAGTTGGATTTCAGTTCAAGATTCAAGTAGAAGAGCTGATAAAATGATCCACCAAAAGGTTGAGGAAACCATGAAGACTTTAACAGAGTAGATTTTGTTGCTAGTACCTACACTCTGGTACTTATTACTACTTCTGCTTCACACATCTTCATCCACATCAGTCCATAACCACACCATCAACAGCCATGGAGACTCACCAGAGAGCTGCAGTCCGGTCAGAAGCACGGCCCACGAGCAGAGGCGTCCTGTGGCCATCGTCCAGGGACTGGAACTGTGCCTCAGTCTGGGAACAGCCTCCTCTTTCCCCATCAGGGTGGAGCCCGTCTCAACATGAACTGGAATGACTGGGATTGCAACACGGCCGAGTGCAGAGCTTATTAAAAACAGCAAATATGTTTACATTCAAGGCACTGGAAACAGCGGCAAGTCCTGAAAAGCTCTGAACCAATTGTTTTGTGTTTGACAAGTGTTATTTTTCTTGCTTTTTTCCTAGCTGTAAATGTTGCTTCAGCACAGTGCTCAAATACAACACGGTGTGGCCCCTTTTCCTCTAACATTTGGACACACACGTCATGAAAAGAATGTATTGGTCCACCTGGCCTAGCATGATAATGTGTGTATGGATTCAATAACAGGTCATGGCAAAACTTGGGTGAAAACTGCTTTTGCACAACCATACTAATATTTGAATATGAAATAAAAGCCAACAACTCAAATGGAATCTGACTTGTTTGGTTTTTAATGCGACTACATTTGGATCTCTTCAGAGCGATCTTCTGCTGAGCTTTCTTCATTCCTTTGTCACTTGTTCTGAACTCCTCCTGACTCAGCTCCCTCTTCACCACAACAGTCATCTTGGTCCAATCCAGAACCGTGACCTTGCATTCAGAGGCGCTGGTCCTCATTGGAGCCGTGTCACCCTCTGCAGCAAAGACTCCCAGCCAAGCGCTCTCCTCTGATCTACACTGGTATATTCTGGTGTGCAGGTACATGGCTCTCCACTTATCTACAAAACATAATACAATACAAAACTATTTATTCTTCTATAGCCCTAAATCACAATAGCATTCATCTCAGAGGACTTAACAAAACCATTGAAATAACCAATACGGATCAGAGAATCAACAGTTAAGACACAAAAGAATACACATATGAATTGGTCCATAGGGAGAGACCAATGTCCATGAATGTTGATAAATGTCCATACATGTTGTAGAATGTTAAAGTGTCCTGGATCATCACCACAGTCCTTCTTGTCAGACACTAACTGTCCAACAGAGCCTCCTGCATCGGCAAGGAAAAACTCTATAACCCAGAGGGAGAAAAGTGAGAAACCTCAGGGAGACCCACATTGAGAGAGGGATCCACTCCACACGGACAGACGGGCTAATGATCCAGGACCTATGCTGCAGAACGAGGACCAGGGCCACGCAGCAGCTGCAGATCGTGGACAGGATCGGTGCAGGACTGAAGCAGCTCCCAGGCACACCGCCAAGCCATGTTTGGCTTTGTTTTAAACTTTATTCTGTACTCCACAGGGAGCCAGTTGAGTGATTTTAAGATCCTAGCTGCTGTATTCTGAACAAGCTGGAAGCTCTTCAAAGAGATTTTTGGGCACGCTGCCATTAAAGTGTTACAGTAGTCGAGCCTTGAGGTGACAAAAGCGTGAATAAGTTTTTCCGCGTCACTATTAGGAAGGATATTCCTGATTTTAGCAATGTTCCGCAAGTGGAAGTACGCCGTTTTAGTTGCTTGGCTTATATAAGCCTTGAAGGAGAGTTCTTCATCAAAAACGACTCCAAGATCCCTCACAGTGTTACTGGGTACAATCCTGACATTATCGAGAGTGATTATCTGGTCAGCAAGGGAGTCACGCAGACTCTTTGGGCCAAGAATCACTTCTGTCTTCTCCGGATTAAGCAGTAGAAAGTTAAGAGTCATCCACGTTTTTGGGTCTTTTAAGTGTGAGGATTAGAAAGCTATTTGGCCTACGTGCAGGACAACTGCAAGACTATACAAGGACTCTGATTGTGCATCTATGTTATGACTATGATTAGCTCTGTGTGTCTCTGAATGACACGTATGTCTTTCGATGTGTGACGTAACAATGACTATAAATATCATGTACTGACTCCATACTGGTCAGAGAGAAAGAAACAACAGAAACCACTGGAACTTGAGAGAAACCTAAATAAACTTCCAGAGTTTGGCGCACCACGATCCATCTCTGTCTGGTTGATTCCTGACAATGCAGGCGCTAAGCCTTTTCAGCTGATCTGTCTGATTTGGTTTCATCGACAGTTAAAGCTGTGTGTCATTGGCAGAGTAGTGGAAGTTGTTATGTTGGTGGTGTAGAAATAAAAGACGTATTCGAACTTCAGAGCTTTTATGGCAGAGCGTGCATACTCATAGCATGGGACATTATTCGTTCTCTCTCTTTTACTACTCCTCCTAACCTGTTGCTATCCACCCATACTAATGGTGCCCTCTGTCGGTGAGGTAACCACATCCTATCATGCATACATAAACCCAACAGAAGTTAATTCCATAATCTTTAATGATGTTTCCTAACGGCAGCATATAGAGTGTGAAAAGAATCGGTCCGAGTACCGATCCCTGCGGCACACCAAATTCCACTCTAGAGTAGGGCGACGAGTTTTGATTCACATTGACAAAGTGATACCGATTTAAACCAGCCAAGGGCTGTTTCTCTGAGACCTATATCACATTCTAGCCTCTGCAGTAGAATGCTGTGGGCTATTGTGTCAAATGCAGCTAAGGTCCAGTAGGACCAGCACTGTCCTAGAAGTCATTTGTGACTTTGACTAGTGCCGTTTCAGTGCTATGATGAGCTCTGAATCCTGATTGAAAGACTTCAAACATATTATTTTCCCGCAGGTGGCAGCAAAGCGGTTCACTAGAGCTTTTCCAGAATTTTAGATAAAATATGGTAAAATATGGTTCGAGATAGGTCTGTAGCTTGTAAGTAGTTCTGCGTGCAGGTTTGTTTTTTTCAGAATGGACTACACTGGTATATACTGGTGGGCCGCGGTCAGGTGCATGGCTCTCCTCTGATCTACACTGGTATCTACAGTGGTATATTCTGGTGGGCCGTGGTCAAGTCCAGGGGGTGTTGCTCTCCCTATTTCTGAAGCTTTCTTCATGCCCAGGAGAATGAACACAGACTTATTTAATGCTTTAGAAGAATATGCTTGGCTTCAGTCTTCTTAATAAACCACTCTTCTCTCTTTGAGAGCGACTAGGGGTAGGATGATTCTTGACAGTCAGTCAAACACACAAGACTACAACTTGATGAAGACAGAAGTGCTGTTTGAGTCATGGAAACCTCTTCACGCCATGTTTCAATCTGTGCCCTCCAAAATGTATCTTTAACCAAAACTATTAGATCAAAACCATGTTTACTGACATTAAACGTCCATGTTTGTAATGAGTAATAACAAAAATAACTAGTTTATTCTTCCTCAACACTGATCAGGTCAATGGTCAACTTTGAACACGCCGCAAACTCAAATACTGCCGTTATTTGGATAAAGCTTTGACAACATTTTATTATAGAGCTTGTTTGATCAACTTGCTCCATTTTGGCCAGACTGAAAGTCAGTGAAATCCATCATCTCTAATGAAGCACTTTCATACAATTGCCCTGCGCACATGCTAGTTAGCGTTAGCTCCTCACTAGGGCTGGGATAAACAATTATTTTTTAAACGATTAATCTAGCGATTATTTTTTCGATGCATCGATTAATCTAACGATTATTTTTTTCGCTTCGATTCGATTTCGATTCGATTCGATTCTCGATTATCTCCCCATTAATTGACTAATATTGATGTATACATGTTGATTTAAATATTTTAATGAAAAAAACATGAATTCCTTCACAAAAAATATGTATTGCTTGCTCTTAAAATTAAAAAATAAGACATTCTTAGAGGTAGCATAAAACCTTAAAGCCTTGAAAACACAGCTTACTGAAAAAAGTGCATCTTATCATTCTTGAAACAAACATTTGATGCTTAGCATTCAATAAAAATATGAAAAAGTTCAGCCAAATACTTGTGTAGAGCAACTAAAAGAAAACAGTAACCAATGTAAACTTGAAGGCTTTAAGCTAAACAAAGAGTGCTTTTCCAGCAAAAACAGTGGGAGCCATCAGCCTGTCATGGCTACATAAGAGTGTAGAGTGGCCACAGGACGCGTCATCAGCCTACGTCAGCAGCCGCGGACTGCTATGAAAACATTAGCTTTGTGGTTTCACAGGCGCAGTTGACTGCTTAAACTAAACTTTGCACGAAACTTTGACTCTTAAAACCCACATGTGACAAAACGGAACCATCAACATATCGCCTCAAATTGCATTAAAAGTGACATTCGTGTCTGAATTCGTTCGTATTTTAACTTTTAAAGAAATTCACGGTCCGCCATCTTGGTTTGCTTCGGCTGCCGTGAGACGCGCATGCGCAGGTTTGCATTACATGATAAACAGCTGAGGCTGTGCATCTCTTCAAGACAGTGTATCTCAGCGTTACACCGGCTTGCACTTCTCTAACACGGCACTCGCATTGCTACCGCTCGCCGCCATCTTTGTTTTGTGTGTGACGCACCGACGCGCATATTATACGTCGGTGTATTTTTTGCGTCGACGTCACCGATTACGTCGACGCGTTGTCCCAGCCCTACTCCTCACACAACCCTGTGGCCCGGTGAAGCAGCCGCACCTGGAACTGCGAATATCACGTCTTTTATCCACATTTCATCATGTCAGTGATGTTGCCTCCAGGGCAGGGGCAGGCAGGTACAGTCCGCGGTGCGGACGGAGCGAGCCCGCGGGTTTTAAATGAATAGTTACGGTCTACAAAGTGCACTGGTGCTAGACCATGGTTTATGTGTATTTCCAACAGCCTTGACCTGAAGTCTGCACCATGGGTCTATAATAATAAGGTATGCACAGAGGACTGAACTACGAACAGGTGTGATTCTCAAAAGGAGGCCGCAATTTGGGGGAGGAGCCAGGTCATATTCAGGCTATACTTAGAAAAAGAAAACAATGTCATTTTCTATCCCACTGTTTGATTCATGTGCTCGTTTTGCAAGGTGTTGCTCTATACATGTTCATTAGTGTCAGTTATTATACTTTTACAGCTCCAGGATGAAGAAATAAACTCCAAATAAACTGTCAAATGTGTATTTTTAATGACAAAGATGAGGAAGCCCTGATATAAACAAACAAACCAATAACATGAGCAAACACTGGTGAAAAGGACATGCATGTAACAAATACAGTGACATTGACAACAGGATTCATAGTAAAAGGGAAACTTACATAAAACAGAACAGCTCAACATAACATGGGGGAGAAAAACTTGACTCTCTACTGCTGAACCAACGTGCAGCTAGTGGCCTCTAGTGGTGAAGTCTTCACAGGTGCAATATTGTTGAGGACACTTTTGAAAGTGTGCTCATGAGTTCTGATCATGTATGTTCTTCAGAAGACTGTATGTCCGAGGTCTCATCTCCACACGCTGTCTACATCGGATCCATAGTTACTTACCATTTACTTATGTTATCATTTTACACTTCTTTGGAGTATACGCAGTCATCAAATCACAGCTGCAGCACAGAGTTTTCTAACCAGGAGGGTCAAACATGTGGAAAATATGATTGGGTGAACAAGACCTGAGACACTGGAAGGGCCTCTGCACCCCCTGGACAGAGCAAGGCATCTTAGTCCAATCCAGAACCTTGGCTTTAGTCACCTTGCCTGCAAGCTGAATTCTCGCTGTATTTGTGAGTTCACAAACACACAGGAACTCATTTGAGTCCTACACAATCATCAATAGCTTCTTCCAGGTTACCTCATTATAGCCGTGTCACTTTTTTCCCACTGAGTTTTAGAGTTTGCCTTCCCGATGCAGGAGGCTCTTGTTACAGTGTTAGTGGGTCTAACTAAGGACTGTGGTGATGATCCAGGACACTCTACATTCCACAACATGTATGGACATTTATCTACATTCATGGACATTGGTCAACTCCTATGGACCAATACCATGTTCTATATCAGGGGCACCTAACCTTTTTTCAATCGGAGAGCTACTTTTACACAAGCAAAGAGACAGAGAGCTACTCCTTATTGCAGTCGTAATAAAAATAATTACGACAAAACATGGAGAAAAAATACAAAATACACCATAATACTGTATAACCCTATATTTATTATACTTATAATAGATATGTAAGTTCAAAAAGCTCAAAAAGTATTTATTTAAGTATATTTGTTGAATTCTAATTCCTTTGGTGAGCTACCTGTAAGGGGCTGGCGAGCTACAGGTTGGAGACCCGTGTTCTATATTGTTTGTATTTGATCTGTTTGATTCTCTGATCTGTGTTGGTGATTTCAATGGTTTTGTTGTGACAACTGTGATTCTGTGGTATTTGCGCTGATACTGTTATAAAAGTGAATTTCACACCGCTCAGTGGACGGTTTTGGGTGTTGGACAAGGGGTTGGGGAGGGACTGGCTGAGGTGACCAACTGAAGAAAATGAAAAAAGATGTGGAGGTCTGAGATTATGTCACAACAGGACATGATTTTTATATTTTTGGACCCAGTGTAAACAACACAACCAGAGATTCACAGCATTCACATGGTTTTATACCAAGGGAAAGATATAATTGCTCCCCTCAGCATCTGCCTGGGCGCCACTAGATGCATTTGACCTTCAAATCAAAACATCTAATGGAAAAGTTCTGACTTCTGCATCTGTTTAAACATAATTACAAAAAAGTCTCATAAAAGATCTATGAGTCCACATGATAAATCCAAATTAGCAAAGTCAAAATGATGACAACCTGTCACAAGCTCTTTAACATCACCCATCCCAGTCCAGGACAGAATGCACCTGAGCAGCTGTGCCAGTATGAAGAGCCAGGGGAGCCACAGCCGACATCAGCCTGACTCCAGGATCAAACCGCGGCCGTGATCTACAGCCGCTGGGCTCCGGCGATGCGTGTGAGCGAGACTGTCCTCAGAGCGCGCTCCAAACGATGTGAGCAGAGCACATGTGGCCTTCCCATCACGGACCCAACCACCCAGAGATGATGCCTTCCCCAGACCTGTCCCCCGCTGTAGCCTGAAGGACCTCTTGGGATGACCTCACTGACCCTGACCACAGCACCGGCAGAAGACGCTCATGTAAACCAAGCTCTGCCAACTCTGTCAGAAGGAACGTATTGTGGTGTTTGATTCTGCAAATGTAGGTTTTCAAATGTAATGTCGAGAAATGAAGACGAGGCAGCGGCGATCGCACCTGTACCATGGTTTATTTTAGAGTCAATTTAGATCGGAGTAAAGGAGACAGGGCCCTTTATATGATTTGTAACAATGTGGTCAGAACAGAGATGGCCTCACTGAGATATAAATGACTCGTGTTTAAGATGTAGATACAGTAGTCACATTGTGATCAGAACAAAATACGTTCAGTTCTTCAGATAATAATGTCTGTAGCAGCAATACAGATATGACAGGGGTCCACAGTACAACATACAGTATAACATAACATAATAACCGGCTCGACAGGCTGATCAGGAAATGTGTCTCTGTGATGGGGAGAAGTGTGGACTCTGTGGGAGCTGTGCTGGAGAGAAGGATGAGGGCTCTATAATTCAGGGCATCCTGGGTAACTCCGGACACCCTCTGCATGACACTATGGCCGCTCAGAGGAGTAATTGAAGCAACAGGCTCCTCTCACTGTGCTGCCGAACGGAACGATTCAAGAGATCCTTTGTTCCTTCGGCTGTCAGACTGTACAACAAACTGACTGACTGACTGTACAACAACAAAAAAGAGTCTTCTGCTGCTGGACACCTGAATTTCTCCTAGGGGGAACAATAAAGTATCTATCTATCTATCTATCTATATGCTGGTCAGATATCACAGTAGTCAAAGATAAACCAATTGTATTTGTGTGCTCACTCTGTAGGTGGTTTGAAGTCAACATCACTCATAACTTGATATTGGAGAATTGGATCATGGATTGTCCCTATGACAGTCCCTGTATTTCTTGCAAGTTGATTCTTTTTTTTTGCTCAGTTGGTAGAGCATTGGCCTTCAGGCCTGAAGGTTGTGGGTTCAATTCCCACCTCTACACCTTCTCCACCGACTCCCACTGATGACTGCTGTCACACTTAACCCCACTTTTCCCAAAGCCCCCACTGAAATTTCAAGGCTATGCTCACACTCAGAGAGCAGCCGTCCTCCTGTGGACTCACCACCTGCAGAGGGTCAGTGAGGGGCTGGTGCTATGACCCAGAAATGGATTAAAGGGTAGAAAATGGATGGATGGATGGATGATTCTTCTGCTTTCTTTGTACTTGACAGTTTCGACTACTGTCTTCCTACCACCAGAGGCAGGATGACACTGCCACAGTCTCTGGCCTCTGAACGACAGAACCCCAGGTGTGTGAGAGTAAAACCGTCCCCTCGTCCAGGTTTAAACCGCACATTTATTTAAAAAGCAGACCTTACGGTGGTCTTACACCTGCCATGCACACCACAGACCACACACACATATCACAGAGCATGTGCACACACACATATCACAGAGCATGTGCACACACACACATCAAAGAGCATGCGCACACAGCAGAGCACACACACACACACACATCACAGAGTACGCTCACACGTTCACTGAATATTTTTTCTTGAATGAAAAAACAAGATTGTGTGCTTGCATTTCCTGTTCACAGTTAACCAGTTACATTCGATAATAAATAAAACTGCATCGGTTTTACATGGTATTCTTCTTTTACTCCGTACACATCGCTGTGGGAAGGAGAGGTGTCGGAGCTGCTTCCTCCTTGCTGCTGTCAGGCTGTACGACGAGTACTGCTGAGTCTGTACAAGTGTCACTGATAAGAATGTAAATGTAAATGGCGGTAAGTATTTCTGAACCACGTGCAATTATATCTCCAGAGTTTATTTCATCTTATTCTATTTCACCATCTTATTATCTTATTTTAATTATATTGTCTATCATAAATAATAAAATCTATATGATGTGTGCAATCTGAGTCTTAATTCCTTCTTTCTCTGCTGTAATGTGCAACGATGACACGAAATGTCTTCACTGTGGGAAGAGAATAAAGGAAAATCTGATCTTACGTAGGCCACAGCTGCAAAGGTGGAGGAGCTGGAGGTGGAGGAGCTGCAAGTGAGGAGCTGGAGGTGGACGAGCTGGAGGTGGAAGAGCTGGAGGAGCTGGAGGTGGAGGAGCTGCAAGTGAGGAGCTGGAGGTGGACGAGCTGGAGGTGGAAGAGCTGGAGGTGGACGAGCTGGAGGTGGAAGAGCTAGGAGCTGGAGGTGGTGGAGCTGGAGGAGCTGGAGGTGGAGCTGGAGGTGGAGGAGCTGGAGGTGGAAGAGCTGGAGGAGCTGGAGGTGGAGGAGCTGCTGGTGAGCTGGAGGTGGAGGAGCTGAAGGTGGAGGAGCTGAAGGTGGAGGAGCTGAAGGTGGAGGAGATGCTGGTGATGTCTGCAGAGCCCGCTTGGTTCTGACCAATTTCTCTGCTCTGGTCCAGAGTAAAATTCTGCTTCATTTGCATTTTAAAAATAATTAATTAGGATTCCAACATTTATGCTTGACCTGTTTGGTTTGGTCCGTGCATCGTCTCTCCTCTGATCTGGAGCAAACTATAATTTGGCAAAGACCAATTAATTAATTAAATTCATCTGTAATTGAATTTGTTCCAGTAATAATCAGATGTAAATGGTTTCTGTGGTGATCTGGCGCCTCATTACATTCACATTCACCCTGTTGCCTCTGAATGAGCTCTCTTTAATATCACACAGGAAATATGAAACATGACATCTGACGCCAGTGAATAGAAAACATGATTTATTCAAAATTACAAAAAAAACTACATTCAAAAAAACAGTTATGATGTTTTTAGTTCCCTTGTTTTTGATTGTCAGAAAACTAAGGTCTAGACCAGGGGTGTCATTCATACGGCCCGCGGGCCGGAACCGGCCCGCCAAGAGATTTGACATGGCCCGCGGCTCATTTATGTAAAAATATTATAATAATACATTTTAAAAAGCCGCTCCGCGACGCAAGGCGACGCGAGGCTCCGCGACGCGACGCCGCAGCGCCGCGCTCAGGGGTGAGTCCAGTGCGTCTGTAGTGGCTCCACCAGAGCGGTGCTGGAGGAATAACATCTTAAACTACAAGACTCGGCGAAAAATACGGCACTTTGAGCGGAGAATAGAGAAAACAGAAGATAAACATGTCTGGCCCTGAAGACACAGCAGTCTGTTTGTGCCCAGAGCGAGAGGTTAGTTCTGCTGCTGTAAAGGGAAGCTACCTGTGCTAACAACATTAGCATTAGCATCACAGCCGCACAGTGAGAGAGAGTTTGTTAAAACTCTCACAGGCTGCAGACATGGTCTGAGAAACCACTCGCTTTTACCAACATGTTGCCATTGATAAGAGACTGATGTTACTGATGTCACATATTCATTTGTGGTGTTACTGAAACTATCAGAGGAGTTTTGAGCGCTGCTGCTGGTGCTGCTGCTGGTTCTGCTGTTGTTGCTGGTGTGTTGGACAGTGTGGACCGGTACCGATGGTAAAAACAGGTGTAGTGACAAAGCTGCAAATGGAGGTGATGATTTTTGGACATTTGACTGTATTTTACACAGAGACACTGCTGCAGTCATTAAGAATGGATCACGTTATGGAAGTTGTTTTATTCATTTCAAGTGAATCATGGTCAGTTTGATGCTTTCTCTGTGATAATAACATAACCATGGACCTTACCACACTGAAGAAGGTTAATGTGATAATAACATAACCATGGACCTTACCACACTGAAGAAGGTTAATGTGATAATAACATAACCATGGACCTTACCACACTGAAGATGGTTAATGTGATAATAACATAACCCTGGACCTTACCACACTGAAGAAGGTTAATGTGATAATAACATAACCATGGACCTTACCACACTGAAGATGGTTAATGTGATAATAACATAACCATGGACCTTACCACACTGAAGATGGTTAATGTGATAATAACATAACCCTGGACCTTACCACACTGAAGAAGGTTAATGTGATAATAACATAACCATGGACCTTACCACACTGAAGAAGGTTAATGTGATAATAACATAACCCTGGACCTTACCACACTGAAGATGGTTAATGTGATAATAACATAACCATGGACCTTACCACACTGAAGATGGTTAATGTGATAATAACATAACCATGGACCTTACCACACTGAAGAAGGTTAATGTGATAATAACATAACCATGGACCTGACCACACTGAAGATGGTTAATGTGATAATAACATAACCATGGACCTTACCACACTGAAGATGGTTAATGTGATAATAACATAACCATGGACCGTACCACACTGAAGAAGGTTAATGTGATAATAACATAACCATGGACCTTACCACACTGAAGATGGTTAATGTGATAATAACATAACCATGGACCTTACCACACTGAAGATGGTTAAACTGAGGTGCTGTGTTTAAGTGCTTTTTTCTATCTACCTACTTTACCTTTGTGAGCAAGTTTTCTCTGTAATGAGCCTTAAAACAAAGCTAACATACAAATATTAATATACATATTGTGAAATACCATTTTCAATGTAATATTGTAAATACATTACATTATTTGCACTATGGAAAACTCACTGTTACATTTAAGTTTGTAACAGAAAACTGAGTATTAAAGGATAGTGTTTTAAAGGAAGTTTTAAATAAATGTGTTTATGTGCACAAAAAGTTGGACTTTGTACCGTTTTTGGATATTTTTGTAGAGCATCTCCTGGTCCGGCCCACTTGAGATCAGATTAGGTTGTATGTGGCCCCCGGACCAAAATGAGTTTGACACCCCTGGTCTAGACATTTGTTTTCTATTCACAGAGTTCAAGAGTTAAGTGCTAAGTTAAGTTCTAAAACACAAAATAATTAACTACAGTTTATCATCAATCCATCAACCTCACTCTCTACACATTTTGCTTCTTTAAGTTTTATTTAAAATGTATTCCTTAGAAGTGTTTTCTATTCTTTATTTTGTATTCTCTCTTTCTGACTGTTGCACTGAGCCAAAGCAATTTCCAAGTCTGTGACCTCCTGTTATTTACGTGGCAATGAAAATGATTCTGATTCTGATTCTATCACCAGTCCCCTCAGCCAATCAGGTCTCAGCCAATCAGGTCTGAGCCAATCAGGTCTCAGCCAATCAGGTCTCAACCAATCCGGTCTCTGCCTATCAGGACTCAGCAAATTAGGTCTCAACCAATCAGGTCTCAGCCAATCAGGTCTCAGCCAATTCGGTCTAAGCCAATCAGCTCTCAGCCGATCAGCTCTCAGCCAATCAGGTCTCAGCCAATCAGGTCTCAGCCAATCAGGTCTCAGCCTAAGGAGAGACAGGACTATTTCTCACAGGTAGGGACAGACAGAGAGCCTTTCTTCACCCACAGTGGGGACATTTATCTGCCCAAACTCACAGCACAAACAAGGACAACAATGACCACAGATGTAGAAATGATGCCAATAGTTTCTCTAGAGGAGCTGCAGACATCCACAGCTCACCTGGGGAGTTTTATGTATATATTTATTTGGAGCTATTTCCCGATAATCATGAAGACTTTTTTTGTATAATAACGATAGTCCAGTCAAAGTCCAGATCTAAATCTGCCTTGTTTTGGAAGGGGCTCACTCCAAACTAAACTGTATCAATGTGTTACATTTTGGTCAATGACACGAAAACGTCCCGAAATGTCCGCAGCCGTTACTGCAGAATGTTCACGACCCACTCTTGTTTTGTTTCCTGCTTGTTTGTCCAGTGAAGGGGGCACTTCTTAAACACAGATTCATTCACGGCCGTATTATTAACAGCGCTCCAAGACAGCCGTTTTGGACGTAACAAAAGTGGACACGATTGTTACGTCCAAAACGCCTAGTTTGTCTGCAGTTATTGAATAATTGTGTTTTTGCAGAATGTAAAATCTATAATTACATATTCATTATAGTTATATCTCCAACCATTAACCATTATATAGTTCAATAAAATTGTTTTTAAAGGCATCCATTTTTCTTGAAATAGTTTTAGCTGCCCTTCTGAGAATGTATATGTATATCTATAGGTTACATAGTACAAAACAATTTTTAGGTAAACATTTTTTTAGTTCATACATAGGAGTGTGACGATATATCAATATCGTGATGTATTGTGATACTTTCTCAATCAATTATCGATCAATTGAAAGTTGTTTTTTTTTAACACTTATCCATTCCATTTATCATGAAATAAAGTGTATTTTTTCCACTGAACATTTTTCTTTTATTTATGCCAATATGTGCTGTATTTGAATCCATAGTTGAGAATTTGTTTATAACTTACACTTATAACTATTTTGTGTATATTCAGATTGATTTGCTAAAAGATTTCTATAACAGAATATTTCTGACCAATATATCGATAATTGTCATATCATGATATAATCATTATCAGGAGCTTTGTATCGCGTATCATATCGTGAGGTACCCTGAGGTTCCCACCCCTATTTATACATTTATTTTTTTGTCGCTTGAAGTTAGATCGAGCAGTGGTACAGTTTAGTGTGGAGTGAGCCAAGGACAACGGGGAATGGGGATCGCAGCAAAAGGGGGTCCAGCAAAGTACTCACTTACTTTGTTGTGGTCTTTTAGTTCCCAAATACAATCTATATCTTTGTAATAAGTAACACAAAGCACTTATAGGCCACTAATGAATGCAAAACGTGTCATAACTGTGCTCCATGATAGTTTCGCCGGTGTCTCAGCACTCACAGTTCTCCGGGGTCGAGCATTAAGCAGTTCCACACGTCCCGATAGCAGCCTCTCTGCGGTGGATGGGAGAAGCAGAGAACACCCGGGAAGCCTCCTGTTGGCACGCTATGAAACACATACCTCTGACCCGGCGGCTTTACAGACGGCTCCGCGGCCAATTACGGCCCACCACAGAGCCCGGGCACAACACAGACATTTTTGCAATCCCACAAGACTGTGTGGAACCAAGGCTTTGTTTGAGGTGCTCTGTGGTTAAACTCACACTTAGATCAATGGCCATGTCTGCAGCGTTACCTTATAAAGAGACCACACCATTCATTATTTAACACTCTTCCATGTGATCAAGAAATTCCAGCACATTGACTCTCACTATAATACAGAAGTGCAATAATAAATAGTCCACGATTCAAAGGCGAAAGCACAAACATTGTCTGATGGAGGTCTGGGGCATATTACCAGTGTTTATGAAGCATTCTTTTACAGTTAATAACCAAGAAAACCACAGGCATGAGGAGATCTATGTTCAAGGCTAGCTTTAATAGCAGCTTTTGTGAATGTAGTCTGACTGACATAACTCCTTCAGTCTGACACTATTGGGGACTGTTGGTGATGGCTCTGAGAATGTCACAAGTGTTTTTAGAAATGACCTCTTTGAGTTTGCGGACTCTGCGAGGGCTGGAGGCGCCCACAAAGCTCTCTGGCTGCAGGACAGCCATGCCGTCATTCACGTTGCCCATGATGATGACCTGTCCCTCTGCAGCTGCCCCAGTGATGTTGGGGCAGGGGCAGGTCCAGTCCATGTTTAGGAAGGTCACTTCCAGAGGCTCTGTTCCAAAGAAGCGCAGACCCATCTTGTCGTCCTTCAGGATTTCCTCTACAGTGACCAAAGCATGTCCTGAGTCCTTCTCCTCGGCCAGCTCGCTCATGCGGCCCAGGATCACAAAGTCACTCCTGCAAAAGCTGGTCACCATCTTGCCGCGGGGCTTGCACACCTTACAGTGGTGGTTTTTGGGAAAGGGGCACATCTCTTCACATGCTTCCTTTGACTCAAAGTTGTTGCCATTTCCCTCACATCCTCCGTAGATGAAGGACTGGCACTGGAGCAGAGTGCTGCTGTAGGCCCAGCGCGGCTCATAGGCCTTACAGGGGCCCTGCAGACTGGGCAGGCCGCAGGGATCTGACAGCTCGGGGCCACAGCAGCGCATACACGCCTCATACGTGTCAAAGAGCCTGGAGGGAGACGGCTCGCTGCTCGGGCAGTGGTTCAAAGAGAAGCAGTTGTTGGCTTTTTGCTCATAGAACCAGCTGAGCCTCTCCAGCTCAGGGGGGCAGTGCTCAGAGCTGTCAGGGGCGTGGACACACTCCTGGGGCAGGCAGAGGCTCAGGTTGGTCTGTGGGCTGTGTAGGGGCTGCAGAGGCCGTACGGTGAGGGGGTGGTGGGCCTGCACGGAGCCAGAGGGGTTGTGGGCAGTGCATGTGTACAGGCCTGAGTCCTGGGGCTGAGCGTTGTAGATGACCAACTGTCCGATGTTAGTGACCACCATGTTGCCCCGCACATGGTTGGGCTTCATGAGCACCCGCTCAGCCCCCTCCGGCTGCTGCTTTTCCCACACGATGTCGGGCCGGGGACGGCCCCCCACATCGCACAGGAAGCTGGCAGTGTCCCCCACACTGACGCTCTGTTGTAGGGGGCTGCTGAGCAGGGCGGGGGGCTGGGGCTGGGTGGGGGCAGGGGTGGTGGTGTGGAGAGGGGTGGTGGTGGGGCGGCCTGTTGTGGAATGGGGCACAGAGGGGCTGGTGTGGGGCCAGCTGTGGTGAAAGCGGCAGGTGACCACAGTGAGACTGATGCCCTTGGAGCAGGCCTCTGCGTCCATGTAGCAGCGGTTGTAGTAGGTCATCCCGTCAGAGGCGCAGGTGAACAGCGGCTCCCTCTCACAGCGCTCCCTGCACTTACACACGGGCTGCCCGTCCCACATGTCGCACACAGAGCCCTGCTGAGAGCAGCTGAAGCTGGCACAGCTGGCCTCTGAGGGTGGGCTCACGGTGCTCTTCAGTTCCAGGTGCCGCGCTGCCACACAGCTGCGGTTTCCACACACGTTCTGACAGCACTTCTCTGACAGCGCACACTCCTGCAGGACACAAGATGAAGGAGACTCAAAGGATCTGATCTGTACTTTCTGAGATGAAAAGTATGAACTGAGTGTGGTCAAATATTACATATTTTGCATATCACATACATCATTTAAGTGTAACATGTTACTTTGAAACAAATTATAATCAAAAGATAACAGATACATTGAGCTGACAGCAACACTGACTTACTCCTCTGGAGTCAACTGTCGGGTAAACAGAGCTGGGAATGACTATTGTAACTAGTTACTGTAAGATATGTCTTTATGAAGTAACTCAGTTACATTTTAAAAAATATTAAATTGCTAATATATTATTTGCAATCAAAGTAACGCATGCACACTTAATTTAATCACACATGTTAAAAAACATTCAAGATTCCAGAATAGCTTGTTAAGTCCCAAAGTAAATTGTGTTGGACTCACTTAATTGGAAATACACAGAAGACAGATATTGCCCAAGTGCAATGATACCTCCAGAATATTATCTTTATATTCATATTAATATTTTGTTATCTTATTATCAATTCTTTTAAATAATCATGTTTAGATCAAGTTATGTTCGATTTGTGCATAACCTTAGTGCTCTTGTTTCTCCTTCTCTCCTGCTGTAATGTGCCATTATGGGACAGAAAAGAGTTTTCTGCTCTTCCAACATTAGATCAGTCTTTCTTTAGGACTAAAAAGTCATTAACTCAAAGCAGTGGGACATTAATAATGCAATAAAAATATATTTGGCGACATTTGTACCAGTAACCAGTAACTAATACAATATAATACAATATATTTATATAGACCTGCAGTAAATCAGAAAATAGACCAATCCATGCTGACCTGGTCCGACAGGCACTCGCGCGTGCACGTGCTCATGGCGTCAACCCACAGGTTTGGGTTCATGTCGTTGGGGCAGATGCCCGGGTGGATGTGGGTGATGGTGGTCTGCATCCACATGGACGCGCACGCCAGCATCCAGAGGCAGCGCGTGAGCAGCGCGCACATGTCCGCGGTGCGAGAGTCAAAGTCCTGTCAGAGAACGATCCTCACAGAGCTGGTCCAGAGCAGGTCCACTCAGAGCGGGTCTCAGAGCGGGTCCAGAGGCAGGCTTCTGTCCCTGGCCCACAGTGCGGCCCAAGTGAAGAGGGGCAGAGATGGTGGTGTGCGTGCTCCGTGCGCGTCAGTCTACTCCATGCGCAGAGTCCACACAGTTCAGTCTCAGCACCTGTGAGCGCAGCCCCGTTAACCCTGCCCTGTCCGTATGTGTGTGCACTTGTTTTCAACTCCTGGTGGGTTCCATAACCTGAGATTCCACTCACGTCATGGGGACTGGTTTTACGTGGTGGGGCCCGAACACCGGACCCCACTGGTCCAAGCTTAATAATCAATGGGTAATGCTTTTCTAACGGTCCTTATGCAGTCTCTGTAAAAATATGGAAAGGACCCCTGGAGGTTTACTTTCCTGAAAAAAGTGTGTTATGTGTCGGAACCCTGGTGGTGGGTTGCGGGATATCAAGGAGGGGCACACTGGGGCAATTTCAGTCCAGCAGGCTGGAGCCAATCATGGAGCAGCACAACAGAGGAAATCAGGTGTCAGGCTAGAAAAAGGTGCAAGTGGGTGGTTCATTAGGCTGCAAGAAATCATGGAGGAGCACACTGAAGCGCACGCTTACAAACCACTGGTAAGTGCTGACTACAAGTCATGACTTCAAATTGTTATATAGAATGATTACAAATTATTTGTTGTTTGTGCAGCTTAGTCAAGAGTCCCTAATTGATGAAGTCGACTCAGATTCTGACGATTTAACTGTCAAGAAGAAACCTGTAAAAAAGTATGGAAAAAGAAAAATCAAAAACACTTTTCTTCAAGACTCGGAAAGTGACGAACCAAAGGCAAATAAGATTGTTATCATGCAGCTGCAAAAGAAGAAAAATGGGGGGCGAGTATACAGCAAGAGACACTTCTGCCTCTACTGTTCAATGTCCTGCCACAAAATGTCCCGTCATTTGACTAGAAAACATGGAAATGAAAGTGACGTAGCCAGAGCATTGGCTCTACCTGTGAAATCTAAAGCACGTAAACTTCAGTTTGATTTGATCAGGAATAGTGGAAACCGTGAGCACAATTTTGAGGTTTTAAAGGCCGGCATTGGAACTTTAGTCCCAGCTAAACAGCCAAATTCCCCAGTTAAATCCAGTGAGTTTTTGCACTGTATAGACTGTGGGGCATTGCTTAAGCGAAAGTCGCTGTGGAGGCATGTGGCCAGGTGCCGGCTTTCACAGACAGATGCCCAGGCTAAACCAGGTAGAAGTAGGGTCCAGTCCCTCTGCTCCCTAGCCCAGCCTGTACCGGAGGGCATCATCAAAAAGCTGTGGTCTTTAATTTCGGCAATGCATCAGGATGAGGTCACGGGTGTTGTCAAAGCAGAAAAGGGGATTCTGAGACTCGGAGAGCACCTGTACTTAAAACACGGGCATGATAAGACAAAGCATGATTACATTAGGCAGAAAATGAGAGAAGTCGGTAGGTTAATTAACGAAGCAACTGAAAACAATTAAGGATTTCTTTATTCCTTCCAACTTTAACCATGTGATTGATGCAGTCAGGTCTGTGGCTGGATATGATGAGGAAACAAATCAATACAAGACTCCATCCTTGGCCCTCAAACTCGGCCATAGCCTCAGAAAGCTAGCAGATATTCTTGAATGTGACTCAAAAATGGAGCATTGTGTTGATGAACTATTTATTAAAAACCTCCAACGAAGCCGGCTGCTTTTTGAGAAGAGGTGGGACGTCTGTGTTTCTTCTGCTGCCCTACAGACCCTCCGGCAAGCCAAGTGGAACACTCCGGACCTGCTCCCTCTGACTGAGGACGTTAGAGCCATGCATGCACATATTGAGGTATGTCGACCTGAATATGTGCAAACCCTAATAAGTGAGCCAACGTCTAAGCATTGGTCTAAACTGGCAGTTTTGACTCTTTGTGAGGTAATCATTTTCAATCGAAGAAGGGAAGGTGAGGTTTCAAAGATGCCACTGACAGCCTTTACCTTAAGAATTAAGACTGGGATCCATTCTGACATTGCTCTGGGACTGTCCCAACTTGAGAAAAAGCTGTGTCAGCATTTTCAACGCATTGAAATTAAAGGGAAAAGAAGTCGGAAAGTGCCGGTTCTTTTGACTCCTGAAATGATTGCTTCGATGGAGGTGCTGGTGGAGAACAGAAGGGCCTGTTCCATCTCTGACCATAACCCATACTTCTTTTCCCGCCCGGGCGCAGACACCCACATCAGGGGATCAGACTCCCTACGCCAGGTAGCCAAAGAATGTGGTGCGGTGCATCCAGAGATGCTATCCTCAACCAAACTTAGAAAGCACATAGCTACTATGTCTACAGTTCTCAATATGAAAGAGAATGAGATGGACATACTTGCCAACTTCCTCGGCCATGACATTCGCATCCACAGGCAATATTACAGACTACCAGAGGGGACACTGGAGCTGGCCAAAATCAGCAAAGTGTTGATGGCCATGGAGCAGGGAAGAGTGACGGAATTCGAAGGAAAGAGCCTCGACCAGATACAAATTGAGCCTGAAGGTAATTCTTGATATTATTAAAATATGTATGATTTTTTTCCCCTAAAGGCCACTTGTATTTTTATTTTCTGTGCAACAGGGAGAGCAGTAGAGATCCTCTCACAAACGGACGGGCTAAAAGAAACTTCAAGCGGAGAACCTTCAACCATTCATCCAGATGCACCCCATGGTAGTGGCAGTGCCCCTTCTGGTAAGTGTACCAGGTGGGGGATTACAGCCAGGCTGCTTGGTCCTCACCCTGGGAGTGTATATTGCTAATATATTTTTATTTCTCTCCCTAGAACGTGTAAGAAAGCCATGGTCTGCATCTGAGGTGAAGGCTGTGGAGAAGACCATGACACCTTTCATACAGACTGGAAAGGTCCCTGGGAAGTCTCACTGCCTGGCCTGCATTAATGCCTCACCAGATGACCTTAGACATCGGACATGGAGTGGCATTAAATTCTATGTCAAAAATAGAATCACTGCAATTCGAAAACAAAATCTAAAATAAAATTCCTTTAAAATAGTTGTTTGGTTTCTATTGACTGTTTTGTATTACTTAAAGTCTTGGTAAAAAAAGATTATGTCTATGGGTCCCATTCTGAACGGCCCTGTCAAAGGGACCCACCAGGTAACAAAAACGTGTATGTGTGTGTGTGTGTGTGTATCAGTGGCGGAGCAAAATTTTTAAAACAAGGGGGGCAAGGGTTTATTTGGGGATCAATATACAAAGACAAAAACATTAAACTACAGTAAACGCATCATCGCTAACACCTGAATTTAAACTAATTGTTCACTAAAAACTGACAGTTTTTAGTCAAAAAAAGTGAGAGTTTATTTGCAACATTTGCTTGTGATTTTTGTAGCTTTTTTTTTTAACCTCTTAAAATCTCTAAACTCTCAGGCCTATTCCCATAAAGGTACTACACAGGCCTTTTCACATTGTTGAAAATGCTAGAAATTGTAATAAAATTTAAAGTTAGTCTTTGGGGATTCTGTGGATGTGAACATTTTCATGTCCACAATAGTTTGCGAGAGTACATTAGGCTACATTATCAAAAAAGGTTGGTTCGCCTAAAATGCGCAAATAAGAATAATGTATATATGACATAATTTCTTGAAAAGAAGAAAATAAACGTTATCAAATGCAACTTCGACCTTTTACTGACACCTTGGAGTAAAGTTTATGTCTAGATGCCAAAAAAATAACAATTTATGCAGGTTTTGATGTGAAAAATTCAGGCAGAAATGCATTTGGCACAGTTTGGCACAAAAAAGTAAAACGTGGAATGTCTCAATAAAAAAAATTACATACGTTTAATACAAACTCACTCCGAGAGTCTCTGTGCGTAATTAATTTTTTGCAGAGTGACAACTCGTTTTCACGCACGTCTTTGTCTATCTATCCTGGACCAATCACGTACTTCTTGGCATAGTTGGAAAGCTAATCCTGCCTAGAAACAGGAAATGCTTCGACGTGATTGGACAGAAACCCTTCTACTTCCTGGAGGCGTTTACCTTTGAGAGGCGGAGTATGTCTTGGGGAGTTTGGGTTTCTTTTCATGTGTTTGTGTTGCTATAAATCTAATTGATCTGAAACAGAATGGATCTGGCACTCGGCGTGTTTCCGCCGGCGGGGAAAAGCGAGCTTATGACTAGACGTATATCAGTGAATCAGACATATAAAGTGACTTGTTCTTGATCAAATGTATTCTACTTATGTTTTACTTGTGTCCCGTGTGGAGAACGGTGAATGTTTCATTTCATTTCAGAGTTCTCTCTCCTCTCGTTTCTCACCCGCACCATCATCTGTTCATTCATTCACTTCATGTATCTTTGTATTGATCAGAGAGAAGCGCATCCGTCTGAATCTGAGCTGGAGCAGTTCTGCGGAGAACATTCTTCTTCCATGTGTCTCTGTTCCACACTCTCTGTAGCTTCTGCTGAGGTTTGTCACAAATCTTATCGCTCTGTTTCAGTTTGATTTTTGTCAGAAAGGCACAAGGTATGGGACCAATGCGGAGAGGCGCCTCCTGTCAGCCTCGTGTAGATCATAGATAAGTTGAAATAAAACATCAATAAAAAACACTGTACATTTTTTATGAACATTTTTATTGTGTGAAAGCCAAAAGAACCTGAAAGTTCCAAAGCAATGCGGCTCCAAAGCTGCCTATTGACCCCTTGCATGTGACGTCCAGGCCACGCCCACTCTCCATGACAGACGGCTGAAGTCTAACCGTGAGCCTTCGGAAACTTGACCAAAACAACCTGTTTCACCGAATAACAGCCAAAATTGTGACATTTAGCAGTGCGGTTGGTTGTACTAACAGGCAACCGCAAACAGCGCCGCAAATGGCGAAGTGGCACGCTCTTTGCCAAAACAATTTCCAAGTGGTAACTTGTTTGTTACTTACGTGGCAATAAA